TATTCATTCCATTTCCTTACCATGGAAGATTGCCTTGGAGATTCTCCCTTCCATTTGATTGCAGGGCGGTGGTTAGAAAAAGGTGGCACTGAACCAACTGTAATTTATGGTTCAGAACTTCAAGGCCAGCTTGCAGAAGAATGCCAAATTGACTTTTTCCCTGTTTGCTTCCTGTCTTGCATGTTTCTGCTCTGGAATCTTGGCTGCTCTAGATCCAGATTTTCACAGTGTTTGTCTCCTGTCTTGTGAGCTGCTGCTCTCAAGTCTGAACTGTTATGAATCCAATGTCCTCCACTCTGTCTACCATTTTGTGATCTCAGCTGATTGTGTTCTGTTGGAACAATTGTGAAGTCTGCAGATATTTTGAAATTGATTTTCTGCTACCTGGTGATTAAAGATGCAGCATAGGTTCCAGATAGGTTTAAATGGATTAAAATTGATTTCACTTCTTCAGAAAGAAAACCTGGAGTATACGTTCACAGGGTCTCCTTAATAACACTGCGAATTCTCGGCTGTCTAGGTTTTCCAGACCCACAGGTAAGGCAGGGATGGGCAGACTTAATATATTTCACTATTACTAGCAGAAGTACCCAGGTTTGGAACTGGCAGATAACCCCCTTTCCCTGCTATACACCAATGTGCTTTTTCTCTCCCCTCAAACTCAGGGTGTGACTATATAGCTAGTAAAACTGTTGGAGTTATATTTTACAAAGAGCATTTCTGCTCAGTAAAGTTACAAAAGGGAAAGACAGGCAGGAGAGATTAATGAGTTTAATTGACCTTGAGAAATGATGAGTACTTCTGAGTAAGATCAGTATAAAAGAAGCAGTAGCTGCAAGAGAAAGCAATAAAAAGGGCCAGCAGAAGGAAGGAGGAAAGAAGCAGGAGCAGCAGCAACAGATGAAGGAGCAGCGGAACAAAGCAACAGAATGAAGATACACTGCCAGATGAAGTGAGAGGAGTCAGCATGGATGTTTCCTTATGGGTGAGAAAAAACTGAAAAAAAAAACCTGTCAAAGGATTGATGAGCCCTGAATTTACAGATGCTACAAGCAATTACTGTATTTTTCTGTGTATAAGACGCCCCCATGTATAATATGCCCCTCACTTTTCTAACCCAAATCTAGGTGGGGCTTAGCAAGTATAGGGGGAAAGGGATCAAAGCCCTGCAGGATCACTTTGATCCCTGCTTTCCATCCACTTGTTTTTCTCTCTCTTCAGCGTACTCCCGTGTATAAGATGACCCACAATTTTTAGTCTAAAGATATTAGACAAAAGTATAGTCTTATACATGGAAAAATACAGTAATTTAAAAGCAACTAGAACAAGTAATAAGCAATGAAAAGCTGTCATATCTTTTGGAATATGTAAAAAAAATTTAACTCACATAAATTAAATGTGAATCATGCTTTTGTAAAATACATTCCTTTAACTTTATTCAAGTTAAGACTCTGCTGTGCCATTCTGCACATAAACATATATACAAAGGGGACCCCATTAAAAACACAGTTTGATCTGCTGTGATTGTTTATCAAATTGAATTTCTGCAACTGAAATCAATGTAACTGTTCACACTCCTACAGGAGTCTGCAGAGGAAGAAAGCTTGGTTTGCACAGATCTGAAACTGCAGAAGTTGCCTGAACAAGGTGGTCACTAACAAAATCTACATCTTTTAAAAAATTATTTTTCATAAGTGACCTGGTGATAATCTGTTCCACTACTGCCTTGAAAAGCATTTTTTTGAGAAAAAACAAACTGTGGATAAAAGCAAAATCCATTCTGGAGTGAAGCAAAACAAACCACAGCACTTTGAAACATTTGCAGATTCTAAAAGGAGTGAGGAAAAGCAAGGGAACATGCCTCCAATAAGGTGCTATCAGCAGTAAAGGAGGTTGGCCTGACAGCTCCAACATGTTTTTTTTTGGATAGTTTAAAAGGTTTAAACAAACAAGCAGATTAAAACAATATTAAAACAATTATTAAAATACAGTGGTGCCTTGCTTGACGATGACCTCGTTAGACAAGGAAATCGCTTGACGATTAGATTTTTGCAATAACTATTGCGATCGCTAAACGATGACTGAATGGGCTTTTTTTGCTTAACGCTGATCGATTCCCTGCTTCGGGAACCGATTTTTCGCTTAACGATGATCAAAACCAGCTGATCGTCGGATTTCAAAGTGGACGCCCACTGTGCAAAATGGCTCTATGCTGTGCTTTAGGATGGATTCCTCGCATTACAGGCACTGGAAAATGGCCGCCCTATGGAGGATCTTCACTGGACGTTGAGGTATTTCGCCCATTGGAATGTATTGAACCAGTTTTCAATGCATTTCAATGGGCTTTTTCATTTCGCTTGACGAGGATTTTGCTTAACAGCGATTTGAATGGAACGAATTATCCTTGTCAAGCAAGGCACCACTGTACAGTGACCACCACTGTTGAAAGCTTCCACTCTTTGGAGACTGATTCATGTTTTTGTCACATAGAAAGATAATCAATTTTGTTTTTCTCAATTTTGTCCAAGTTTTATACTAATAAACAATGTTGAAAACAAACAGCAATAGAAATGTGAATAAAGTACAAAATTATAGTTAAAACATCAGAAAATATTAATCAAAACATACCAGTGAGTATGAAATTAACAGAACTCAGCATATAAAAACTTAATTCATCAAAGTTCTTCCTGTTTTTCTTCTTCTATCAGAGGCTGGCTTTCTAATTTCAGTTCAGCAGCTTTGGATACTGATGCTGTGTTGCATCTCCAAGGGTCTTCAGCCAAGTTCTTCTCCTTGTACTTCATTCCTCATTTATTTTAATGATCAGCTGTAAGAATCTGTACTTTTCTCCTTCATTATGTGACCAAAGCATTTTTGCTTTCTTCAATTTCTGTGTTATATACAGTCGTGCCCCGCTTTACAATTACCCTGTTTAGTGACGAATCCGCTTGACAGTGAGGTTTTTGCGTTCGCAAAACAATGGTTTGAATGGGGTTTTTCCGCTTTGCGATGATCGGTTCCCAATTTTTGCTTTATGACGATCAAACAGCTGATTGTCGGGTTTCAAAATGGCCGCGGGCTGAAGAAAATGCCCCCCCACTGTGCTTAGGGATGGATTCCTTGCTGCACAGGCCCCAAAAATGGCCGCCCCTATGGAGGATCTTCTCTGGACAGTGAGTTTTCAGCCCATTGGAATGTATTGAACAGGTTTCAATGCATTTCAATGGGCTTTTTAAAATTTCGCTTTGTTTTTGCTCTACAGCAATTTCGCTGGAGCGAATTAACATTGTAAAGCAAGGCACCACTGTATTAATTTTGTTGTATATCCATTTACTTATCACTTCTTTGTTGGCTATCCTCCAGATTGGAGAAATTGCTAACAGTCCTGGTTTACAGGGGATTCTTTTAGCTACGCACAGTTCGTGAGGCCATTGGCAGGCTACTGAATATATTTATCCATGGTGGAGTCTGAAATATATATAATCCATTTTTCTTCTATGAGTCTATTAGTTATAAATCTGTTGAATCCATTAATAAATATGAGAGTGATATTTAAAATAGTTTCCTGTGTGAAGATTCTAAGAAGTTCCACTTTCTTCCCTATAGATCAGGGGTCGTCAACCCCCAGTCTGCGGTCTGGTGCTGGTCCGTGGGCTTGCTGGAACTGATCTGTGGATACGGATCTCCACCCCCGCCTGCACACATGCCCAGTGGGCATGTCACACTCGTGATACGCCTACCGTGAGAGCGCGGGGATGCCCCCACCCCCACACATGGAGCTCGCTCCCCCCAGCCAGTCCACGGCCCCAAAACAGCTGGGGACCACTGCTATAGATGGCAGTACATTAGAAGTTTCATTTTCTCATATACTTCTGGCAGACTTCTTTACGCTGATGTGGACAAGATACATCTCACTGAATCAAGCTAGAATATTTATACAGTACAGTAGTTCATTTTTTTTCCTACACGTGGTTAGCTCCCCATCCACACTGATATATGCAAGTTTTTCCACTTGTTAAAATTATACTTCAGAAACATTCTGACATGAGTGTAGACAAAAGTAGTTTCGCTGGCTAGTGCCAGCAAACAAATGGCATGCTGTTTCTGAAATTTGGGGAGGAAACAGACTACAGAAACAGTGTGTGTAAGAAGAAAGGAAGCCACTGAGATAAATTTACCCTGTACTCCAGCCTGTTCTCATTTCTGGGTGGTTTACAGGTTAAAGAAAAAGCTCACAAGACCCCTACATAACAACACACATTTTTACCTGGAAAGTCTATTCAGGAGAGAAAGGGTGCTTCCAGATAGAGGTTTCATGCTTCTCACAATTAAGAGGCATTGGGGAACTATTCCATCTGTTTTTCTTAATGGATTTTCTCTGGCAAAAAAAGAGAAAAAGATGGAGAAGCTTCAAAGCTGCAATGCTTATAAACCTCCAGTAGGAAGACTGTGTAAATACACTGTAAAAGCCTTATGTGAATGAACCCAAAGATGGAATAGTTGGCACAGTATCTTCTAAGGGCTAGCATGAGGAGTCCTCCATCTGGAGATCCCTGTTCCAGAGGAAAGGAGGGGGAGAAACAGGCCGGCCTTTCCCCCTTTGCCTTCAGTGGGTTCTTCTTGACTAGAGAAAGGCCTCCCATCGTTCCCGAGGAAAAGTCCTTTGCTTTGCTTTACGACAACCTCTCCTGCTTTGTTGCCGGCAACACAAGGAGAAGGCGCTCCCCTTCAAACTTGACGCGGGCGGGGCAGCGCCATGCGCCGGAAAAGCCTGGCCCGGGAGCACCGGAGGTGGACCCTTTGCCTTCAGTGGGTTCTTCTTGACTAGAGAAAGGCCTCCCATCGTTCCCGAGGAAAAGTCCTTTGCTTTGCTTTACGACAACCTCTCCTGCTTTGTTGCCGGCAACACAAGGAGAAGGCGCTCCCCTTCAAACTTGACGCGGGCGGGGCAGCGCCATGCGCCGGAAAAGCCTGGCCCGGGAGCACCGGAGGTGGAGGGTGGGGTGGCGGCGGCGGGGGGTCTTTCGGCCGCAGCCCAGCCGGGCTCCCACAGCATGGGTAAGGAAGGGCAAGGGGAGGACCGGGAGCGGGAGAGACCAGCCGGCCCCCTCCGCCGCCTTTTTCGTTCCTCTCGTGTAGGGCGCCGCCGAGGAACTCCTCCGTGGGCCGTTGCCTCTTGCTTTTACGTTTTATGCTGGGTATTTTTTCCCCCAAGGCAGAATTAAAAATTCCACAGCAAACAACAACAATCCCTCTGTCCCCCCCACCCCACCCCTCCGGCGCTGCACAGCTTACGCGGGAAAGAGTCGGCTTCTCTCTCCCCCCCCCCCCCTCTCCTTTCTTCCCTCT